TGCGAGCCTTCCCTACAACAATCCCACCCCTTTGTTAAACGACCAATCACATTCACTTTATTAACTCGTGTAAAGTCAGGCACCACTCTGGAGAATTCGTAAAAGCAGTGGCTGGAACAGCCGCTTCCCTAAGACTTTAAGGGTCGGGCCTAGCACTATTGGGTTAAAGACAGTGCAGAACAAAGTCTATATACGGTACGTCCATCCAGACCCTCAAACAAAGCATCTTCTTACACAGTCAGCATGTGTAAATATGTGCTTTGAGGTTACCTGCATAGTTCAAAGAGATACAGAGGAGAAATTACCTCTGGTCAAGACAGAGCCAGAGCTCACTGCTGCTGTGAATGATGAAGAAAGAGTTTACAAACAGTAACTTTACAAAAGAGTAAGAGAATCAATGTAATGACGCATAAAGCGCTGCTGCAGATGGAAGTAAACTCTGATCGCTTGAGGTCTGATGAAACTCGGCTCTAGTTAGTAATCTAGAATTCCCTCTGTGGTGTTTGAAGCTGGTGTTTTTTTCTTCCTCTGTCATTTCAAAGCTGTTCATTCTAAAAGAGAAGGTCCACTCTTTTCTTTTTCTCCTCTAGCTGTAACTTACACATATCTGCCACACTGTTAAAGATTGTGGCTGCCTATAGGATACTATGGATCACGTTGCACTTTGTCTTGATGACTTGAAGACAAATGCCAATTAAACAGCAGCAGGTGTTATTTTACAACCCAGTCCTGCACACAGCAACACATCTGGTCATCATTCAGACCTGGCGGTCAATATTCTATTTAAATGCCACACTAATGAGAAATCCTTGCAAAGCCAGGCTGATCAGATTCTCTTTGTAGCTTATCCAACGGCTAAAATAAAACTCAATCAGACTATAATTGTCTATCACATTGGTCAGTTCCTCTGTTTCTGTAACTGCTACAGAAGATGTGCTATGTTTTACGATTTGGTGCACACCACCCACTTATGCTGTGGAACAGGCAAGTTTGCTCACATATTTTTTTTTTTGAGAGAATGAAATAGTATTTCGATTATCCATGAATCACACTTGAGGGGACACTTGAGCCACCACCCAAGTGTCCCCACCAACTTTCACCCTGGTGGTGACGGTAGCCTGGACTTCAGCGGACCCGTGCTTCTCCCCGCCAGCCCCAGAGCTGACGGCCCAGTCCGGCCCAGCAGGACCCCTCCCACCAAAAAAAGTGTCCTCCTTTTAGGAAACCAAAATCTGGTCATCCTATATTACGCAACTCCTTCGCGAAAGTCAGCTACCCACGCTCTGAACACCATGACATAGAATAGGCTATCAGTTGTTAGTGGTGGAATGAAAGATGATGGTGCAAGATAAATTAATTAAGATAAAATATTATTAAAGAAATCTATGCTGAAACAAACTAAACTCAGCTTTGGAACACCAACAGGTCAGAGGAAAAGAAAGAAAGAAAGAGGTGAGTTCATTTCGCCAGTAAATATATCATTCAAAGCACGGCTAGAAATAGGAATCTCATCGTCCTCAGCAAGCATTTCAAGCAACTGTCACTAGAATTTCGTTTTACAGTCGGAGCCTACTTAAAACTATTGATGCACACGGGGGATAATAATAGAATGAAATTGTATTACATTTTTCTTGAGGTAGCCTAGTTGTGTTGCTCATGTTGCATTATCAAGAATACAGAGTTCTGCTTTGGCTATTTCAAAACGGAGCTAAATAATATGATCAAACAGCAACTAACAACATTGTTCTTGAGGTTATGTATGAATAAAGATTTCTGCTAAAGCCATTTCAAAACTATTGATACACACTGGGCAAAATAATATAATCAAACAGCCCATGTACAATATTGTATTTGAGGTTAGCCTAGTTGTGTTGCTCATGGTGCATAATGAAGAATTAAGATTTCTGCTTCAGCTATTTCTGGTTTATTTATTCAAGAGACAATCAAACAGGTCTGATTACCATTGCCTTGAGCAAGTGGATAGCAGAAGAAGAAACCGTAACTGCACACAAGAACATACTCAGCTAAGACTACTAAGACTTCACATTTCCACCTTCCATTAGATGTGCTGGAGCGCCGTCTTGTGATATATTATTGCAGGTCATTTGATTCATTTAGTGGGCCATGCAAATGCACGGTGATGATGTTGACAATAATATTAGTAGAAATAATAATGCAATACTAATAACAACAATAATAGTTATAATAATAATAATAGTAACAATGATGTGTAGGGCGACAGTGGCGTTGGATGTAGGAGTTTGCCCTGAAATCCAAGGATTGACGGTTCAGTGTCGTTGTGTCCTTGGGCAAGACACTTCACCTGATTTAACTCTCTTTATTCTTGTTTCCAAAATATATTTTAAAAAGTCACCATATTAGAAAGTTTTTTTGTCAAGTAAGATTTATCGCAATATTTGACCTCTGTATTTCAAAAATCCTGGTTACGGCCCTGTATTATAAATATCACTAATTACATTTCTACCAGTAGAAATTAAATTTTAAGTTATCTGGAATCAAATACGTATTAGTAAGAACTACATTTCAGATATCTACAAATCTTTAATTATTTCAGGTGGTTGTTTTAACATATATTTGTTGGTATTTCAGATATCTTTAATAGTATTCCTCCTATCTAAAATGAACATTTCAGATATCTGAAATGTAATTTTTACTAGGACAAATGACGTCCTCCTATCTAAAATAAACATTCTGATCGTCTAAAAATGCATTTCAGATCTCCGTAATCCGATTGCTAATGGTCATAATTTTTGTTTCAGATATGAAGAATCAATGACTAAAAATAACATATCTGACGTACTTTAAGGTTTTCAGACCTAAATTCAAGACATTTGGATTTATGGGTCTAGCTTCCTCTCTGTGGATTTGAAAGCATTTTATCTCGTAACAACGAGATAAGACCTCATAATTACGATATACCAATCTCGTAATTATGAAATAAGATCTCATAATTATAAGACAACATGTAATATTTAGGAGATCAGGAAGGACAGTCATTGCAGAGCTACGCTACATGAGACATGAACAATGGATGGGTGGTCGGATTTAATATGCTTTTATTTCATTTTAGGTATACCACACTAGGAAATACCTCAATGTGGATGGAATTTGTTTTAGTTTATCAGCAATACGCAGTAAGTCCTGAGAATTGTTAAGGCAAACAAGCCCACTCTACTCTTACTTGCTGGAAATCGCACTTTTCCTGCAGGAACAATTAAACCAGCACGGGATGCTTCATGGTTATAAATTAATGCATCTGAATGCATTCCAGCTGGCTTGGTGGTGTCCCAAAGAACTGTTGGCCGGTACCTTCTCAAAATCCTAGATCCGCAAGGAGTACAGCTGAGGCTTCAGAATTGTTTAAAACTACCAGATCCCAACTTCATGTGGCATGTCGATTCATTAAAAACTAAAACCATGCGGAATCTGAAGCAATAGAGCTGTAGACGGATTTTCGCGTATGGTCATAAGGCTGCATGCTTACTCAACAAGTAGTAATCTCAGGGTTATAGCTGCATACTTTGTATGCATACTTTGTTGGTGAAGTGAAACACAGGAGCGTAGTAAGCTCCAAAAAATGTTTTAAATGTGTATAAAACTGTGTAGAGTGGAGGATGTTCTTTTTCCAGGGGGATCATCAAATTAAGTGGTCTTCCTAATTCTCAATCATTCTGGTGATATGTTTATATAAGGCCGTTCTACATGTTCGTCCCCATTTTCACTTACTGGTCGTGAGTGTGACATAGTGGAAAATTTGCAAATCTACTTTTGGAAAGCTTGTATGAACGATGCAAACAGCAACTTTTAAACAGAGCCTGCACGAAGAGAAAGGGGCTCATGCATATGCTCGTGCACACGTTTAATAGACGTTCCCTCTCGGTCACGGGTTCAGGTTTTTGCACATGGATTTTGTTCAAGTGGAAAGGGCAGGTCTTTTAAAAAATTCATGAAAATTCTCCACTATATGTTGAATTCAATTCAATCCAGTTTATTTCTATAGCAACAATTCAAAACACATATCAACTCAAGGCACTTTACAGTTCAACCAGATCATACATTCAAATTGATTCAAAGTTGTCTATCAAAGGAAAACCAGTTGATTGCATTGACTCATTGACTCGAATGCAATCCCTCACACTAAGCATGCTTGTAGAAACAGTGGAGAGGTTTCTTCCTTTTAAAAAGGCGCCCCGTCCAGGAAAAACAAAGCCAGGCAGACGAGCTCCAAGCCAACTCCCATGTCAAAGGATGAAGAGAGCACATCCAAGCAGTAACGGTCAGAGAAACAGGACTACAGTGGAAAAACAGATGCCAACAGCACAGGTGATGTTTCTCTCCAGGATGGTGTCACAGCCAAACAAGAGAATTTTGAGTTTAAAGATCAAAAGGGTGGAATTAACATTGTTTTGCTGCGAAAGGACATGGTTTTTACTGAATAAATGGTCTACAAGGCAAAAAATAATTAATAACACTGTTTATTTTTAAGAGTTTTAAATGTGAGCACATTGGTTTGTGAAATCATTCTCACTTTCTCAACTAGCCTCTGGATCCTGAGGCTGAAATGACAGCAGACCACTGGAAATGCATCCATCAAGCAATCACTTTTATAACCTGAGTGCTAGTTGAGTGTACGATGTCTCCTAGAAAGTTTTCTTTAGTTTTTCTCTTCTTTTTTTTTTATAAATATGGTAAATGGCTTGTACTTATATAGCGCCTTATTTCAAGTCAGGAGACTTGACCAAAGCGCTTTACACTACATTCATTCACCCATTCACGAACACACTCACGGTGGCAAGCTACACTGTAGCCACAGCTGCCCTGGGGTTAACTGACAGAAGCGGGGCTGCCGTACACTGGCGCCACCTGGCCCTCTGACCACCATCAGTAGACAATGCAGGTGAAGTGTCTTGCCTAAGGACACAACGACAATGAAAGTCAGAGCTGGGGCTTGAACCGTCAACCCTTCGATTTCAGGGCAAACTCCATGTCCAACACCACTGTCGCCCCTAAATATGTTTAAGGATCAATTGGCCATCTGGGAATACCCTCACGCATCAACCAAATGACTGATGTGACAATGATATGACAAATAATTCAAGCTGTCAGATTTGCTTACAGTTTTCCAGCATACAAGTTCAGTAAAACGCTTCCACAACATTAAGTTGAAATAATAATGGTATTATGAAGTCATTACTGGAATATTTGAGTCCTAGTTATGTTTGGCCCACATGGTGGTGCACATGTACAAAAAAGAAAAAATGTGTTTAATCAATATGTTTTACACTAAAAAGCTACACTGTATTAACTCGAGTGTGTGTTTTTTTTTCTGCTAGATAGAAAAACTTCAGGTTAAACCAGTGTTACTTTTCTGACATTATGTCTTTCTCTGCCAATCAAACAAACCAAATCCTGCATCTATTCTTCTGTTGTATGGAGACAATCAGATCCCATTCTAACTTTTTAATTTCTTTAGCTTCAAAGTGTAATATTCCTTTTGTAGGCTTAAAACTTCCAGCTGCACTTTTAGCGTTTCTCTTTGCAGTTGATCCAAATTCATTGTGTCCAAATCAGAACCTGTTAGGAGCCCTGAGGATGAGACCTCCTGCTGACCTTGGAGATAAGCATGGTCTGAGCCTCGGATGCTTATTGGAGGAAAGAAAAACAAAATAAGACAGTTGAAATGTGTTAAGTTATTTAGTTGATCAGAGATGGCTGGAATTTACCTGTTCATGCATAATTTTTGAGAATCCACATGGTCTAAACTGCTTACAGCTGTGTGATTGTCACATTTTCTCTGACCAGGTAAATTCAAAGGTGAAGCAGAAAGTCCTGCAAGTTAAAATTCTTTTAGTGCCTCAAATTTGAAAGCTTTTACAGAAAAAAGCAGCATTTGGTTTCTGAACTCACTCAATGATTCGCCGATTTCTTCCTCAGAAGGTTGTTGTCTGGGAGAGGGGTCTGCCGCCATGTCTGCTCTTTCATTTTCTATTAGTTCTCCACTATCCTCAGTTACTGATGTTTCCAGAAGCTCTTCACTGTCTTTGTGTTTTTCCAAACACTTCCTTGCTAAATGCCTGTCTCTTTTCTTCTCAACTTTGGGGAAGAAAAATTATTAAAATGAAGATTTTTACAACTAAAGATGGTAGAAAAATAAAAGGGGATTAGATTAATTTAAATTACAGGTTACACTGTCTTTTAAAGAGAACCAGAATTTCAAAATGTCCTTTTCAGTTTTAAGACTTCTTCAGAGCCTCACCCACACACTGAAAAATGGTAGATAATTTTACATTTCCTAAAGCGCTACCTTACTTTTTCAAGGTTGTTTTTTTACATATTACTCAATCATGGATATTTAAATGATCATAAACATTCTAAACCACAACCTAGAGCAAACTAAAAAGAAACCAAATGTTTAGAAAAGTAGTATTAACTCTTACAAACCTTCTGGGGGACACTCTACAGCAGAAAACTCACAGCCACTCCTCGTCTGTGGAACCTTACAGAACAGACGATAAAGATGTTAATATATCTTTGTGAAGAAATCTAACTTTTAAAGTAAATAAGATCTTATATTTAAAGTCACAAATATCCTGTAGGCCTCGTTTTATATGATTCAGTTTTTAACTCTTGATTAATTTCTCTTATCTTTGTTCCAGTGCTTTTTTAGAACCTTCCCTGGATTTTATTCATTGTCAGTTTGCAGCTTTCTCCCTGAAACTTCTAGAACAAGGGCCACCAACCTTTCAAGTCTGGGGGCCAGTTCATGGGTACTGAGTGATAGGA